GAAACGATGGTTAGATTCCAGTTACATCTTATGGTGGTAGAGCAAGCGTGGAGAAACGAAGTGATTTCTAATGACTGGGGTTCAAGCACCCTTGTTCCCGTCCTCTTCACTAAGTGTTAGAACTACCGCATCGACGTTGCTGTTAAAATCTTAAATATTGTCCTCCTCAGGCGACTCCAGGCTGTGCGTAACTCTAGGAGGCGGCACAACCAGGCCGAATTCCGAGCTGGGCGTGGATGCGTGGACCAGGTATTCCCCTGAGGCGCATTCGGGAATTTCGCCATGGCTACCAGCAACCGATGGTTGTCTGCTGTGTTGACTTCGCCACTACGTTCGAGTCGGTCCATCGTGGGTTTCTGTGGCGAATAATGGGACTATAGGGTTTGCCGCCGAACTCATTTCCATGATCAAGGCCTACTATAACTAAACTACTACGAGGGTTATATTCCACAGCAATCTCTCCTAACCATTGGATATCCGGTCTCATATTCGACAAGATTGCAGCATGTCTTCTATGCTCTTTAACTAAGACAGTAACTGTGTTCTCAGCATGGCCCTATACAGTTTTGATGGTGTGGAATTTGTAATCAGACGCTGGCTGACTGATCTGGACTACGTGAACTATATGGTTTTGCTAGTCTTAAGCTTTGGTAGGCTATAGTCTGTGGTGTCATAGATGAATTAGACCGCTACTTCGGTCAACTCATGCATAAATGCTGCAAAGAGCACATTGGTTTTGAGTTGTATCCCTCACCAGGAGAAGGCTTCCCTGGGAATTATTGATTGCCATCTTGAAGAAGAAGAAGAAGAACAATAAAAGGAAAGAGGAAATAGGTTTCAGGTACCTCAAAACGAGGCTGTTGTCTGATAAAGGGCGACATTTTTCCGGATCGATGTTTCTCAACAGGTTTTCTCAATCCTTTGAAAACGTTAATGGATCCGACTCGACATCTCCATAACCACCAATATGCGTGTGTTCCGGGTATCTATGTGATGAGTCCTCTTCTACGGTTGTGACCGTTTGGCAAGGAAGATGAGCAAAGACCTGAGGTGTTTGACCACTGCTGCCTAAGTGCTATTCCTCAACTGAAGTACACCGACCTTATCTCAGACGTGGCAGTTTGCACTCGCTGGGATAATAGCCCGAAGATATCTCAGGCCATCCAAGAATAACGACTGCAGTAGTTCGTACGCGCTCTCCGTCGTTTGATTCACTAGCTCAGTTATACTGCCCTC